TCAGTGTTTTTTCCAGTATCTTCACACCACCGTGATGTCGCTCAAGCAGGAAGACGAGGGCGCTGGCATACCCAAAGACAGTTACTGGATTAATGATCCATCTCATGACCCTTACACCTTCATGAAGGCCGAACGATTCTTCCACGATAAAGCTAGTTTCGAAAGGCCGTATAAAATCAACAAGCGCGAGAACACCAATGGTCGGACATCACCCAAACTGGCGCGGTGTTCTCCTTCGACGACGGTAAACCACTACTGCTAATCCAGTTCATCTACCCAAATGTGTAGAAGATCCGCTTCGACGTAACTAACAAGAAGCCGGATGACTACCTGGACTGGAACTCGTGAGTGCTTGTGCGCAGTCATGGATTTTGTAGACTAACCCTAACCCTAAGAGAGACAATCATATGTGACATGTGACACTCGGAAGGACCTGCGCACTTTGTTGGACAACAAGTATGAAAAGATCTTCTGGGCCGTTAGGAACTCGAAGGAGGAACACTCCGGGCAACATTATAGCATGCGCTCGGTGGTGTATCCTACCAAGCAGGACAAAGACGCTGACACTAATGGTAACGAGATTGTCAAATTGTACATTGAAAAGGCGCCATGGTGTATAATTGCTACTCGCATGCTGGAGCACGCCAACAAAGAAGAAGACGAAGCGATTGCGCGTCTTCAGGGAAAGCCGACTGACGTTCCCAAGAAGATTGAAAGGATCATCTGGGAGACTATACAGAAGCCAATACAGTGGAAGAAGCTCGGTGATACGACGGCCCATATCCTAATCATCAAAAAGTCAGGCGCGTCGAAGTATATCGGTCAGTACATTCTAAATGGATCCTGTAGTACATATGAGCTGACACATCTCATTAGGTTTCGGTGAATAGGGTGGAAAATCGCTGCTTAAAAGCTCCACGTTCATGAACTACTTCGGTGTTTATCACGCACTTCCTTGAAGCGAGTGCATATAACTGACTGGGCACGCAGATTATGACAACATGGAGTACAAGGGAGTCTACGGAAACGGCCCCCTGGACGAGCGCGAGCCGCTGTACCACTCAGAGCCCTTCTGGATCGAACTCAACACGCACCAAAACATGAAGTCTAAGACGGCCACTTTCATCGACAACTACTCACAGATCTGTATCGATTTTGGCAAGAATAACGGTGGGAAGATACGTACAGGCACACGATTCGGCGCATTGCACTACTATGTGATCACCGGCGATGAAATTTCTGAGGTTATCCAAAACTACCCATTGATGATTGGAAGACCGAGGCTGAAGCCCAGATACATCTTAGGGCATCACCAAGGCTGTCAGTACCCCCCTCCGAGCTACGTGGATGTGATCTTGCTTCTTCCTGGAGGAGTGCTGTGCTAAAAATAGTGATTACTTTGAAAGGCTACGGTTACGATACCGATCAGAACGTCTTGGATAAGGCTACGCAGTACCAGAAGGCGAGATTCCCTCTGGATGGCATTCACATTGATGTCGACCTGCAGGACGAGTACCGAACGTTCACAATATCCCCCCGGAACTTCCCTCAGGTGGAGAACATGTTCTCGAAGCTCTGGGCTATGGGTATTAAATGTAGTACTAATATTACTCCTGTCATCAAAAATAAGGATACGGATGACAAAACTTACAAGACATTGCAGACGGGTCTGAAGGAGGGGTGGGTACCTTGAAATACGAAGTTATTGATTGCAGTGGGTGCACAGCTGATCGGTTGCGTAGCTACCTCGCAAAGGACAAACGGAAGGACACCGACTTCAAGCTGAGTGCTTCTGATGTCCGCTACATTAAATACGAAAACGGCATGAGAGAGCGAATGAATCCCTCGACCGAGACCGTTCAGAAACTTATGAGAGAGAAGAACAGTTTGCCAGATTAGGACTAGTGAGTCCACTAAATGCCTAGCACTACGAACAAAATTGATTCTAGTCGCAATCTAGTAAATTCGAAGACTGCTATGACAAAGGAAACGAGTACCATGGCGGCGTCTTCTATGGAGACGGATACGGAACGGTAAATTCCAGAATTTTTAGATGTTGGCAAAATGCTAATCTGCACACAGGCGGGCTTCTACCCTGATCTAAATAGAAGGGATGTAAGGGAATGGTGGGGCAAGCAGTATGAAGATCTTTTCAAGAAGGGACTCGAATTTGTCTGGCAAGATATGACATCCCCGTGTGTGGCACCCAACTACGGTGATATGAAAGGGTAGGTGTCGTAACATTCTTCTCATTCTAGCCTTCACAGAGGTTCAATAAAACCAAAACCAAACAGTTTCCCCTTCCGTTTGATGATTCACTCCGATGCCTGGAGCCGTGAGCCCATCCAAGATACCAAAAAGGCCGCCATTGAAATCTGGTCTTTGTACAGTTACAATTTGCACAAGGCCTACAGGGGATTAAACTCACTTTCCATGCGCGCCGGCAAACGAAACTTCATCATTGGCCGAGGCAGCTTTGCTGGTACGCACCGCTACGCTGGTCTTTTGACTGGCGACAATGCCTCCACATGGGATCATTTCAATATCTCTGTCGCTCAGGTCCTGGCGTCTGGTCTGTCCGGTGTTTCGATAACGGAGGCTGATGTTGGCGGTTTCATGCCGGAGGCTGATGACAAGCATTATGCCGATCCCGAACTCCTTGTACGCTGGTACTGCGCATACTTCTTGTTGCCTTGGTTCCGATATGATACTTTGCCAGCATGTTCAATGTATGACAGTCTTCGCTAAACTGCTTGGCAGTAACCATTATCATGGCAAGCAGGGGAAAAAGTGGTTCCAGGTCAGTATTCAACGTCGCCGTTGTGACTGCAGTATGAATATCCCGGCCAACCTTCCTGTATGACTAGGAACCATTTATTTACGAAGACCATTACTTGAAGAATACATCCACGCTGTTTAGAGTTATATTCGGAGGATGGGAGACAGCGTACACCAACCACAACTGGGTTTTTCGCCGGACCATAACCCAGCACCACCAGGAATTATAGCTAAACCACAACGTAATTTGGAGGTGAAGTTTTGGAGGTCTTCGGCAAGTCAAAGGTAGAGACACTCCCACCGCATCAGTCGATAGACCATGCATGTAATTGTGGTGCGACGTCACGTGCACTCGGAAGCGCACTTGGAGGTTTGGTACTCCAGGTGCACTTGCAAGCGCATTTGGAGGAGGAGTGACTGACTGTGCTCCGAGGCCGGGTAAATGCCCTGACACATAGTTGCTGCCCAAAAAGGGCATAGTCTCTGACTTAGTGCCGGCTCGGCCCGCAGAGCCTCAACGTCATGTTTTAGATGTCGAGGCCTACCCTCGACTATTCTTGTAACTAGACACACGAAATCATCTCTCTTACGATCATGATTTTCACGTTTTGAACGCTCTTTGTTTCCCTCCAATTGGCCCATAGTCTGCTAGGCAAAAACTGATTCTCCATACTGGTGTTTTGACTCGGAGAGTCGCCAAAAGTGCAGACTATCGCCAACTTTCTGACACTTTAACGACACAAACTTCTAAAAACGTACCCGAAAACACATATTTCGCAGCTGCCTTCGTCCTTTCGCGAGGCAAAAAAGTCTTGCCTGCTGATCGTGAAACGGCAGAAATCCTTTTGTCGGAAACAGATCATCGTTATTGGTTAGAGAAAGCGTGACAATCTCCTCCTCCTTCCGACAGGTCTTGGGCCGCAATTCTTACAAGCTTCCGAGAAGTCTACCGTGTCATTCATTGTCCTTCAATAGAACACGAAAATTCCTCTTTCTCCCTCGGCTTAACTCCAGAGAAAATTGCATCTCCCTCATTTGCAACCCTCCTATCAAATCTTCCGGGAGCTTTTCCAAATCTCTTTGGCACTCCGTCTAAAGAATCTACCGACTCTCAAGACTCCAAACTCATTTCTTTGAAACAGCTCACTTTTGAGTCGAGATCCACGACTCCCGAAGACCTTCCTTTAGAAGATACTTTTCATTGATTATTTCCTCGCGTGGTAAACGACGAGGAGACCACTATTTCAATCACGTCGTACAACGAACGGGAAGAAACAGACGAGAGATCGTCTCCAGCACTACTCCGACCAAGACCAACTCATCCTTCTACTTGTTGTTGGAATCCCGATCGTTTTCCCCAATTCTATTCCAAAATGGATTGGGTAGACGATCAGTTGGCAAGTGCTTATCCTCAAGAGTTAAGATTGTGGGAACAAGAACTCGTTGAGCATCAGCACAATTTACGGGAATACCTTCATCATCACGTCCCGAGAGCCGAATACAATCAGTATTTCCAGAGATATTACTAAGTCAACTACTTCGAAGAAATGGCAAACATTAATGAAGAGAAGCAGGAGCCTGCGTATTACTGCATATACCTTCGCTATCTAAATGAACCTGCATATATCTTCGTATAACTGCGTATATCTGCGCATGTCTGCAGTGTCTAGGAGAATTCGTTCTTATCAACGCCCCATGCTAGCGGCCAAAGCAAGACTTCCGGGGTTCTAACCCCTGCATCGCTGACCGCCAGATATCTGTAGACCGGTCAGATCAAGTCTGGCAGATCTGCGGCCGGCCTGGCCCAGATCATACTCAATCTGACCGGACTGACCGCTTCGAAACACTGGACACAGTAGAGCTCCCATTTACGGGTACGGCTGTGAATGTTTAACGACATATTCAGAGGGAGGTCCACATAATTGCAGCATTCTTCGGCAGAATCCTCCCCAGTAGAGCATTCGCCTTGCTCCGCATCGTCCGGTTCCAGGTTTTCAGATGTCGCCGGGTTGGGTGGGTTTGTTCCTTGAGAAACATTAACGGTCGCCTTGTTAAGGTCGGACACGGTCCCTACCATCCTCCTGGAGATATCTCAATTTCAAGGCATTTGCCAGGGTACATATAATAGGATCTTCCCCCGCTTAGGGTATATAAATCAAACTTTGCACTGGCACTGATCCGACGAATCTCACGATCTGTCCGCTGTCCCATACTTCGCAAACTTCCGTGGAGGTAGAAGACATCAACTCCGCTTCGACAACGGCACGGGTTTCCCTTGCCCTTCAGATGATTGCTTTCAGCCATGTTGGTCCACTAGCATGAATTGCTCCAACCATTGCAGTGATGATACCGAGAGGCGCCATGGCGAACATGATGTTGTCGGCCCAACCCAACGACTGGGACATGAACTGCTTTGCATCCTGTGGGTTTCAGACTATGACCGATGTGCGACAAATCACACCGGATAGTACATACCTGCTCGCCGAACAGTGTTAAAAGTGGCGCCAGATCGGAGAGTATGTTATTTGAGAACTCCTCGCCGGCATCACTTATGCCATTCGAAGCAGCCCCTACATCGACGGCCAGACCAACAACGGCGACCCTTGCATCATCCACCGAGCCACCTTACTCCGGGCGACGTCACCCACAAATCAGCGCGACAATTCGCAGATCCTCTGAGCGCATGGTTGCCGAAAACAACCGTTTCGAGCGCTCGAGTTGCGGCTAGAAGATTCTTAGAGATAGCGAGTCAACCCCTTCATAGCTACTTGCCGGTAGTAGTATCACGCTGCTGCGTCGTTGGCGATTCGGCCTTATGAGACCATCGGCGCAAGTATATCGGCGGATGCCTTGAAGGTGTTAATGCGGGCTGTCACGCTTTGGCGTCCAGATGTAGCGGATGGGTTTAGACGAATCACGGTGACAGAGGGCGGTGGGAATACTCATCGCCTTGGCTAAGAATAACCGTTCGTCGGGTGAGCCTGCTGCATCCCAGCTGCAGAGTCCTCCCCTCTGCTGATAGCCGCGTTTGGGACCGGTGCTCTGACTGCCTGGCGATGTAATCCACTTCGCTAATAATTCCTCTTATTCGCGAATGAGCTTGCTGCTTCCTGCACGAGTTAAGTTTCGATATAGTAGTGGTAGGAGACGGCCGCCTGCAGGTTGAAGTGTGGAACTCCAGGGTACGGCGTTTACGAGTCTTGGTATGAAGGCCGTTCCAACGCTCGCCGCAACCATGATCAGGGGCAATTGACATTTGCTTGCATACAACGTTGACTTATTCACAACTAGCGACTTATTCGCGACGCGTTACTTTAGAGTTCAATTGGAACATCGCTCCTCTGCGGATATCCACAGATCTGAATGGAGGGAAATTATTCGCGATTGGGGTGAACCCGCAGATAGGATGCAACAAGCCGAATTGCCTTCATTAGCATTACCATGGCAATCCTGCAAGTAGCGCCAGGTTAGCTGCCTGTATCGTCTCGAGTAAAGTACTCAAGTACCTGTACATCGAACGTTTGGCCAATACCCTGGACAGCGTCGGGGCATCAGGCCATTTTGTGTTAAAGCATCGCAATTCACAGTGAATTACTGACATAAACGGCAATCTCCCAACCTGCGGTGTACTCAGTAGAAAATGTTTCTCGACATTGCTCATTGGGTTTTGCCGTATCAGATTATCGGGAGACGGGTGGCGACAAATGGAGACAAACGGAGACACCACACCGATCTCAGTATTTCAAACGAGTCTTGCCCAAGGGACTTAGTTTAACCAACCCTCGAAGATACTCCCAATGACAAGAGATAACTCAAGTCTTCGGAAACACGCCAATTTGAGCTCGGAACAGTAGTTGACAAGCGAAACCGCCCCCGCCACGCTGGCTTCAGACACAAAACGAGTCGGACTACTATTAAAGGGAGGTGATAGAACGCTCATTGGTTCTATATTTGAATACTCTATCATTATATATACGTCCGAGACTATGGTGTCTGTAGTCTCAGACTCTGCGTACCACACTGTAGCTATTGAAAGAAAAGATCGGGAAACAGGGGGGTTTGGATGTGTGATTAAACCTCTTCAGGGAGGATTTCAGACACCCGATCTCAACATTCGGCTTAGAGCATTACTTCCTTCCGGGGTTTGAAGGAGGCCATACCAAGTTCTGATAGGGACCACCCCCAAACAAGTGATGTGTTAGCCAGGAAAGGGAATTCCCGATCTTTTCTTTCAATAGCTGTACACTCCAAGACTATGGTGTCTGTAGTCTCGAACTGCTTACTGGCGCTGCACCAAGCAGTGGTTCGAGGCTATGGTGTCTGCCTTCTTTCGATTACCCGATTCGGTTTAGACCACACACCGCAACCCGCCAGCAAACCCCAGCCGCCCACCTTACCCACGCCCAGAATGCAGAGCCCCTAGTAACCTTTGTCCTCCCTATCTCAGTGGTATGTAAAAGCAATTCTACTTGGGAACTTCCTCCTGCCGTCAGAATATCAATTCGCATTTCCGAGGAGAGATATCCGAACCGGTTGGTACTGCACATTCCGCCCGCGTACTTGCTCTAGATTCTAGGCTTCAAAACCTTGCCACCGATTGGTCTCTGGTCCGTGGGCTTGTTGGTTCCTTCATGCTGCGTTGGCCCTGGAGGCGCTGGTGCAGCTCCAGCTTGCTGTTTTTTTTCTCGATATGTATGATTTGGGATGCGTTTGGCATCCAGAAGATAAGTTTTGAGCTGAATATTCATGCGGCCTCACGAAAGAGCACGGCCTTGCAGTCGTTATTCTAGCATTTGGCGCCACAAGTTACCGGCCGTGGGGATGTTTTTGTTGGATGGCAGGGCTGGAGGCCTTTTGTGTTGCCTTATCAGGCTGCATGTGCCTGGTGGCTGACAGGCATCTCTGCTAGTTCGAGTACCTACCACCAAAGTCTCTACGGTGCAAAGGTCGACTTCAGCTACTGGCCTCGTTTTTGATAAACTAGCTTGTAGATCTAGACCTACTCTACACAGTTGAAGTCGTGAAAAGCCACCTTCAATGCTCTACACCGACAGACATAAGCTGAGATTCAATGCATCATTGCAGCGCTAATCGGTTGGGTTTGCGATAAATGCACAATAGATACAGCAAAACACATCCACGCTTAGCTGTAGATTCGGACTTCGTGAACGAATGTCAATGTGCCTCGCTACATTCGTGATTGGTTGAAGAGCCCTGGATCCTGGTGCCATATGCTGCGGGATACAAATGTTCGATTTCCCTATACACCTCTATCAGAATTTCAGCAGACTACTATCTGCCCCACCAAATGGGCTATCTTCGGAGCGACCTTAAAAGGCGGCCTGGCCAGCCCTTCCTCAGTTCCACCAAATAGTCGCCCCGAATCCCAGGCCTGCAATCCTCTCTAAGTACCAAACCTTCCAATACCTACTCAGATAGTATATTCCTCTGGAAAACGCAAGTGTTGGCCAATTCCAAAGTCCCTAGAACCGATGGGTTGACAATTCTTCTAGATGTCGTTGGAAATCTGTCCCCTGCCTAAGGACGTGGCCGACTACCGTCTCAAACAATTTGACCATGGTGTCTTCACCTTTGAGCTTCTGAAGCTCAAAATCACTCCGACGGGTGCCCCGCTTGCCCTCGCGCCACCGCCCTCCTACGAAAAGCAACAGGAGGAAACAAAGCAGGAAACAAAACAGGAGCCCGAGAAAGTCGTCAATCCTTATGAGGAGGGCGTGAATGAGGGCACTGTGTATGGTACACAGATGGCATTGGCTCAGATGTTCACTCTTATCGGGGAAAAGTATGTCCGCTTCTCAATCCAATGTGCCGAGTTTGGTTGACAAGCTAATGTGTTCGATCTGCACAGGTACGCCAGTCTGCATGATGTCCTCGGAACTGAATCCAGTATTCCTCGCCTGGACACTGTGGAACAAAAGAAGAAGATGTACACATGGTCCATTGGGCCGGAATTTCCGCCACATTGCGCTACTATACCCAGGGACCATGCCTGGTCCAAATACCGCATATTCGACTTCTGGGGACTTAATGATGTCGGCTCTATCTTAAAAAAAATCACCCCATTGACGTTCCTCGATTGGCATAAAACTCCGAAGGCGCAAAATCTCGCCAACATCTCGGCCTACAATCAATCCCAGCACGTGAAAAAAGCAAACGCCTACAAAGAGGGCAACGTTGGCGACTATCCTGACTGGTTCAGCGATGCCACCTTTGGCCAGCAGCAGTTTACCGGAACGAACCCAACGACGATCACAACAATTGCGAATGACCTGGAGCTGCTTGCCGAGTTTCTCATCGTGGCCGAGCTCCAGAACAACCAGAAGATGGTTGATCTGCTCAAATCCATCCATGCCAGCGATCTCTACGTCCAGGATTGCAGATATTTTCGGGATGCGATCGGCGAGTTTACCGCCGACATCAAGAACGACACCAATGCAGCCAAGAAGGGACAGTTTCGCTATAACTGCGCCGCTGTCTGTCTTTTCCACCTGCAGCCCGATGGAAAACTTCATCCTCTAGCCATTGTTATCGATTATAAGGTCAGCATGAAGGATTCGGTTGTCATCTTCAATAAACGCCTGCATGCTGCTCCGACAGGCACGACTCCCAAGGAGGAAGAAACAGACTGGCCTTGGCGCTACGCGAAAACCTGTGCTCAGGTGTCGGACTGGATTCGTCATGAGCTCGGGATTCACTTGACCAATACCCATTTGGTCGAGGAGGCGGTTATTGTGGCGACCCAACGCACGTTCAAATGGGATAATGTCATCCTCAGACTCTTGTACCCGCACTGGTACAAAACACTCTCCCTTAACGCCGCTGCGCGCGACATTTTGGTTCCTGAAATTATCCTCGACCTTGTCGGCTTTAGCAAAGAGCAAGCGCTCGCATTCATCAATTACAGCTATAAGCAATTCGACTGGACCGGTAAGTACGTTCCGAACGATCTCACGAAGCGAGGGTTCCCGCTCGACAAGTTGCCGGAAGTCGGCGTTGGCGAGGCACAGAAGTCGAAATTCCGCAACTACGCGTATGCACGCAACATTCTGCCCATGTGGCAGATGATCAGGCGGTTCGTGCGCGATATGCTTACAATCCAGTACAAGAACGACGCCGCTGTTGCGGAAAGCATTGAAATCAAGCAGTGGTGCGCAGAGATTCGAGGGCCGGCCCAGATCACAAGCTTTCCGGAGGAAATCAACACTCTGAGAGCCCTGGTGGATGCAGTAACAATGTGCATCCACATTGCCTCCCCACAGCACACGGCGGTCAACTATCTCCAGCAATTCTATCAGTCGTTCGTCATCAACAAGCCGGCGGCTTTGTGTGCGGAACCGCCCAAAAGTATCGAGGCGCTGAACAAGTATACCGAGACCGACCTGATGAAAGCACTTCCCATCGAACGCCCTCGCGAATGGCTGCTCCTGTCGCATCTGCCGTGGCTGTTGAACTTCGGTGTCACTGAAGGCAAGAGCCTTGCAGGTTACGTTTCATCCCTTTACAACGTGTACAAGGAGAAGAAACCGTCGAAAAACGATCCGCACGCAGTGGAGATCAGTGAAGCGGCTAAGG